GCATGTAGAATATTGGGGTTCTAGATTGCGCAGGTTTTAAAAGTTTTGCTACGTTGTGTTGTATTTCTCTGTTCTTCACGAGATCGTCTATGCAATGGTTAACCGTTTGTTCATGTCCCGAAGTGCAATCTTCTTCTATCCTCATGTAATACATGTCATTATCTAGTTGGCGTTTCGCCTCCTGTAGGTAGTCGGCTGTGTTGAGAATAACTGTAGCTCCGCCCTTGTCTGCGGGTTCTATAATTGTCTCTATTATTACTTAGTCTATCCAAAGCTAATCGCTCACACTTACTAAGATTGTTGCGTTGAAAACAACAATTATGTACTGTTCTGTTGCTGATTTCTTGTCTTAGCTTGTCAATATATGTATTCAAGTATGGTTCTCGTGAGGGTCTACTGTATGTCTTTTGCTCCCTGTGGTTCAGCTTTTCAAGTATTGTGGGTTGGTAGCTGGGATTGTTGGTTAGTTCATCTATGTTCTCTGGGGTATGGTATTCCCTGAGGTTCAGTCTGCAAGCAAAGGCATCAATATCCTTGTTAATATTCTCTGTTGTAGGAGGATGGGATGTAGGACAAACATTCAGTCCTTTCTGAAGTAGATCTGTTTCTGATTGAGTGAGTTGAATATCAGATAAGTTTACTATTCGTCTCTTCAAAATTTCTTCTGATTCATTACATTTGGTTATTTTGAAATTTCCGTTATTCATTGTCCTTTTCCATTCCAAAGTCTGGTTACTGGCAAATCTACTTCATCGAAATTTGTAGTCTAGTCTTTGTATCTGGATCTGTTGGGTGGGCGCCATTTTAAAAAAAACATTGTTGCTGTTCAAAATACCTTGGTTGTTGTGGATAGCGTCAGCGGCCCTGTGTGTTTTCTCATCTAGAGGGTACGTTGCCCACTCCCTTGGTCATCTCCTTTATTTGGTCTTGTGCTCTCCATTTTTTCAGAGCGACGGGTTCAATCTCTCGCGGATGTGTCTCTTCATATATACAAATCTTAATTAACAGAAGCTTACTTAATTT